AATCCCCGATCTCCGCTTCATCGGATCAGTATGTACTGTAGTTTTACAGATACGATTTAGCCACACTATGTTTTGTTTGCCTTCAAACAACTTACTCAACGTTTCCCAGGAATCAGCCTTCGCTTTTGTCACTGCCTGTCGCTATCGCCATGCGGGTTTCTTTTTAATGTTTTAGAGTTGAAAAGCCTTTGCTTTCAAGGCACCTCTTGCACGCAGCCTTCTCGCTGACAGCCAGTTAAACCTCTTGTGCCTACCAGAAAGTTCGTTTCAGACCTCTAGGCGGCAAGCCAAACCGTTTAAATCCGCAGCATTTGGCGGCAGCCTCGAGTATGCCGCTCTTAAAGAGCGTCCTCTCTATTTTCATGTCAGCGGTCATTAATGTGATCTACCCAAACCGTCATGCGCTGATGCTGGTAGCTCTGCACTCGTACCCAAAGAACATGTTTCCTATTTGATCCTCTAGTTACTTCTGCCGCAAGGTCGTCCCATGATACTCTATCACTTGCAGCGGCGGGTGCCAACAACAAGTTTATGATCAGTTAACAACCCTGCGCCTCTCTTAACGCGTCAACCTCATTTCGTCACTATTGAAGTCGTTAGGACCACTCTTTCTAATCATCCCTTCCAACTTTTCAGTTTGCTCCGACATGTTTATTGAAATCGCCCATCAGAACGATAAATTCCGTAGTCGGCATTTCGTATAGAACACGTTTTAGTTCCTCCAGGAATGACTCATATCCTCCCCCTTAAATAAGGGGCACATACCTGTAACAAGGTCGAAGCTTTCGCCCGTTGCAGCGTCAGTCAGAGGATTGCCAATTTCCCGTTGGCAGATTTCTGTTAAATGATGCTGTCAGTCAGGTTGGATTCCACCAGAATTTCAATACCAGTTTGAGCGCGGATCGTAGAGTCGGCCCTTGAGTAGAATAGATTCTTCCAGCAGAAGTTCAGAATTCCAAAGCCTTGGCGCTTTACTGACGAGAGTCCACCTCGGTGGTGCCTTGCGGCCCTACTACATAGCTCTTGCTCTTTTGGTCTGAGTGATGAGATGTTCGAATTTCTGACTGTGAGCTGCCACTGTCCGTATCGTTTCTGTGGAATCTTATCTGACGCGCTATAATGACATCGCCCTGCCTGTCTCCTGCGTTCAAAATGTGTAGCGGCTCCGTCTCCGACTGGTATTTTCATCGCCTTTTGTTGATCTTCTGCAGCTGTTGCCGTGCTGCTACGACCGCAGCTGCCATAAGGTGGAGGTAGGTTCTGATCAGCGACTTTTTCCAGTCCCTTTCAGATCCCCAACAGCGTGCAGGACACTTGAAAACCCGGAGACGACTGCGCCGTTAAAACGTTCGATCGGGTAATATCATGAATGGCAGGATGTTAAGTTTTACGGGAACCTTGCCACTGTTCCCGGCCATTTTTCTTCCCCATCGATACTTGGAACCGACATCAGCTGTTATAATGTATCATAAAACACTACGGAGCCGTGCGCAATTACACCTTGTAAATCAACAGAAATGAGACATTAAAAATTTACCGTGATGACAAACAATTAACCGTCATGAAGAGTAATTCCTAGGTAAATTTTGGTCGTTTGTTTTAACTTAATCGAGTATTTGATTCTTGTGGGTTTACTTGAACCAGAAGAGACGAAAAATAACGAACTGAACAACATGTGATATATTAGAAAAACGTTTGCGACGGCCCCACCTGCAAAATACTCTGCACGTGCCAATTATGAAACATTCACCGTTCCTTTGTGAATATGAACATTGAAAGTTATTCGACAGCAGATGCAGAATAGTTCTTACCATGCTGCAGCTTCTAAATGAAACTGACCGGAAACCGTCAGATACACAGGGTGACCAAAGTAGGGCGAGATATTTCCATCATTATTAATGGACTTGTTGTCTTCGTGAAATTTCTCGAAAGCAAATCTCTAAAAAAGCATTCCATTCAACAGAAAGTTCATAAAAGGTAACTAGTTTACTTGACTGATTGGAAAGGCCTCTCCAGCGTTTTCGCAATCATTTCCAGTTAGGATAGGACAGTCAATTAAAACGAAATTCTTGTTCTAAAGAGAAACAGGCTGAAATACACTTTATAATCATGCCAGTAATTCAACGTTTTGCAAAGATCTTACTTGTACGAAATGAAAATACTTAGGTCGTTAGGTGCATGAGAAGTTTCTCCTCTTGACAAAAATTAAATTGAGAATAGTTTCATTTATTTGCAGATTCAGCCAAGATTTATTTAGGTTATATAAACGCGTCATTGCCAAGCTGTCCAGAAGCGCATACATGAAGTACTGAAAACACTAGTAAATAGTGCAATAGCACAGCCTGTAGCAGATGTGTGACAGGCAAACCTACATGACAGATCAACCGTTCATTTTCTTGAGCAGGATCGATGAACTTGGAATGGTACCACTGATGATATAGAGTTAGGAAAATTTTAAAGATATCGCTCTTACCTTCAAAGTGATTGGTGGGATGTGGTCCGGCGAATATGTGCTTTGTGGATCTAGAGAAAGCCTATGACCAGATCCCGTGCAACGATCTATGGGTATGTTTACGAACATATGGGATAAATGGTCAGTTCCTACGGCCCATCCAATCACTATATGTTGGGAACAGATGCTGAGTCAAAATAAATGGCCATTAAGGCTCATTAAAGCAGTGATCTCTGCCAAGGCTGCGTTCTGTCTTCTCTCCTGTTTGTGTTGCACATGGACAGAATTGTCAGGCGAAGCCATGGTGATGAGAGTATCAGCATAGGAGATGCCGATATGAGCAGGCTGCTGCTTGCAGACTACTTTGTTTTGTTGGCATTTTCTGAAACTAATCTACAACGCTCTCTGAAAAGGTTTGCAGACCAGTGCGGGTGACCGAGTGGCGTGCGAACGTATCTAAAATGAAAAGCCTAGTGTTTTCTCGTTCTCCTTGCGCCGCTCTTCAGATTAATGCAGAGGCAGTGGAGCAGGTGGAGAAGTTTAAGTACCTCGAGTCGTGTTCAGCAGTGATGGAAAATTTGAGGAAGAGATCGACCGGCGGATTGGAGAAGCCAGTGGCGTTCTGCGTGAACTAGTCCGAGCTCAGACTGAAAACCAGGCTCTCGGTATTCAAATCGATCTTTATCCTTATGCTTACCTATGGTCATGAGTCGTGATCCATAACTGAGAAGCTTCGAGCCCGGGTACAAGCTGCTGAAACTGACTTTCTTAGACGAGTCGCTGGCCTTACGCGTCTCGACATGGTCCGCAACAGTGACATCCGGAAGAGCCTTGGAATACAACCTTTGCTTCTCCAGATTGAGAAGTCACAGTTGCGATGGCTTGGGCATATGTTGCGAATGCCTCCAGAAAGGAAGGCTAAGCAACTGTTCCTTGCAAATCC